CTTCCAAAATGGTCCCTGAGCCCTGGGTGGGTGGAATTTAATACAGGACTCCTGTCCAAGGACCCACACACGGCAGACTCTTATTCTCTATGCTTTGGCCATTTGTGACATTTTGTGTTCCTGGCCCTCTGTTGCATAAGGGAGCTTCACTGATGAGAACTGACAGATGCATTAGTGTTCTCTTTACCCCTTGTTCCACCATGTTCGCCTTGGGTGTGGGTTTGGGCAATTCACAGACAATCTCTGTGTCTGACCAGTTGTGAAACTCTGTAATAATCTCCGACTGTTGCAAAAGAAGCTTCTTTGATGAGTGGTGATTGGATACTTGTCTGTAAATATAAGGACCCATATTCAGCACATAGTAAGAAATTACATTTGTCTAGGGATGTGACAGCCTTGGGGTTTTCTTTAGGATCTGTGACCTTTCCAGCTAGGTGTATTTGGCTATGTTTACAGTACCACACCTGAGTTTCCTCCCACTGATGGGCTTTTAGTCCAATTAGGTAGCTGTCGACTTACCCCCAAGATAAAAGTGCCACTGCTGCCCCAATATATTTTGCTGTGCTGCTCATTGATGTGGTTATTAGGCCTTAAAGCTGGGCTTGGGCCATTGATTGATGTTCTCCCTTAGCACCTTGTATAGTGCTCTCCAAAGCTATGAGAGCTAGCCTTCAGGGAAGGTTGCTTCCAGGTTACTTCCAGCTCCATTGCTCCAAATCCTGTGTCCAAAGTATGTTCTGTTTTCAGCAATAGGGTTTTACTCTCAGGTTCTGGAAGGCAATCAAGGGCTGTGGCAATTTGAAGAGTCTCCTGAACTACCCTGACCAATAACTCAAAGGGAGGTCTCTCCAGTCTGGCACTGGTTCTTGTTATGTATCCTTCAGTTATACACATGGACTCATGTAGAAATATTGTTGATGTAATTTTTCAGAAGGTTTTTGGACTAATACAATTCCTTCTAATTTTTTACACTAGCTGGGCATTATTTATCTCTCTTCTTTTTCTCCCTAACTCTCCCTCCATGCCCATTTTCCATATTTCTCCCTTGATAATGCCTATCTCCTATGCCCCCCACCTTGAACTCATAGTTCCTTGTATAACCCTCTCCCTCCCTCCCATTTAAGTACCCCCGTTTTACCCATTTCCCCCTTAGTACCACCTGTCTCCTACTATTCTTCTCTCAGCTTCCTTCCTTCCTTTCACCTCCCTGGTTCCTTTCCATTTTCCTGGTTCCTGCAGTTGCATCAGGATATGTACTCACTTATAAGGATTTGGTGCTAGGATCCACAAATGAGGGAGAACATACATCATTTGTTTTTTCTCAGTCTGTGTCAGTTGAGGGGTACTTATGTTGCTTCCATTTCTTAGCTATTGTGAAAAGAGCAGCAACAAACATGGATGCACAAGTATCTCTGCAGTAGGATGAGTCCTTTTGGTATATACCAAGGAGTGGGTATAACCAGGTTATTTTTAGTTAAGCGTTCTCCACGCTGCTTTCCGTAGGGGTTGCACAAGTTTGCAATCCCATCTAGGGCTCTGCCCTTTTTAGACTTAATATAAGTTAATTGTGTATGACAGGGTGTTATAAAATAAAGGGTAAACACAGTCCAATCAAGACTGATATAAATGTTCACAGAAATTCCTTACTCATTTTGTTGGCTCTTATGCCCTATCAGCCATATGTTACTGAGCTGTCTCAACAGACTGGTGTAGTTTCTACATGATGACTCTATCTACAAGACACCTCTTTAGACTTGTAACTTCTCTATTTTAATCCATTTATGAAATACAAAATACAACTAGTACACAGATGGATGGATATCTTTTAGGAAAAGGTATAAGTGACTGCTAAAGAAAAAACAAGCCAAGTTCATGAAAAATAACATAATATTATGTTACGGCAAAATATATATAGCACAGATGATATTTGAATGCCAGGGTTAGGACTTAAGAACAGGGAAAGGAACACACAAAATTGATTACGTGCCTAAGACATAGGAGTATGAGAGTCAGGGTTTAGAACTCCCTGCTCTAAAGTCTCATTCCCATATTGTGCCCAGGGTTTCCATAACCTATTCCAGAAGCTTGAGAGAACAGGCTAAATTTTTCTCTCACCCAAGCCTCTGTCATTTACCCTATGCCCACTGGAGGATCTTGCCTTTTTCTTTCTTTTTTTAATTAAATGGGTTCCATTATTTTCTAAACAAAAGTATAGGAATCTGTCATTGTCTCAAAGCAATTTACTCAGTAGCAACTAGCTTTAAGATTTTTTTTTTTAATGTTTGAAAAATATACTGTTTGCATGCTATGGTGGCTCACACCTTTAATCCTAGCAATCTGGAGGCAGAGGTGGTAGGATATCTGTAAACTGGAGTCCAGGCTGGTCTATATAGTGAGTTCTAGGCCTGCCAGGGTTACAGGGAGACCCTGTTTCAAATACATATTTCTTTACTATTCAAGTTCATATGTCATTGATCATTATATAAGTCCTGAATTCAAACTTTTGTTTTGACTGCTTCAACTAAGTCTAAGGTTGTTCACAATGGAGTAGAGCAACTATGCACTGTTTCACTTAGTGTTCATTGAAAATGCTATTCTTAATTTTTTTATTGTTTGATTAGACTTGTTAGATCTAAGCATGTTTTATTAACTTAATTTTAAATGTAAATTCAGCCTGAAAACTTTTGACACTTGCGCACATATTGAAGTTTGTATTCACTAGGATGGAAGTTGCTTTGATAAGTAGGATTGTCTTCACAAATATTATGTGAAAGCATATTAGTATAAATATGTGTACATGTTGTGCATAAATTCTTAGTCAGAAACATAAATTTCATTCCTAGTTCATAAAATCATATAAATAGGATATATTCCTAAGAATGGAGTGTTTTAAAGCAGTTTATTTTGAAGGCAAAACCATGTTTGATTACAAAGAATTTATCCAATAAATTAATATTTTATTTTATATTTCTAAGGATGTATATTTTTAAAGTATATCTTTCATGGCATCTATTCATAAACAAAGGTTTATTCAGCAATTAACAAAGAACTAAAGTAATTTATTAGGACCTGGAGAGATGGCTTAGAAGTTAAAAGCACTTACTGCATAAACATGGGGACCAGAGTTCAGATCCAGCACCCACATAACAGGCCAAAGCCAGCCATTGTCCCTCACATGCCTCTAATCCCAGCACTCACGGGGGCAGAGACAGTGGGATTGCTTGGACTTTCAGGCTTCCAGATTAGTTTAAAAAGCCTAAATTCCAGGTTTTAGGGTAAGGCAACAATAGAAAAGGATGCTCAGTGCCTTCTGCTGGCCTCTGCTCTTACACATACACACACACACACACACACACACACACACACACCACATGCACATGCACATACACCAATCATACTCCACATATACCATGTACATTCATATACACAAAAATTTAAATTAAAATAAAAAATAAGGTAGCTCAGTAAATAATCTTTCTGTGTTTCCATCTGTATGCAAGGAGCTGTGACTTGATTTTTTAATTATTTGAAGACCTTAAATGAAACTTGCAGACTGGAAAAATAGGAATGAAAAGTTAATTTTTGTGTGGTATGTATTCTTTAGTGGTACTCCTGATAACCAACCTGTCTTCTCCTATGCCAAACCTTACTGAGGTACACTTCAAAGCTTGTGAGGTACACATGTGAAAGGTTATACCTGTTCTATTTTGTACTTTAAATGATTGTTTTCCTTTCTTTACCTGTTGTCAATAAAAGAACATACTTACATCTTGGAATTAGATAAGGAATATATGAATAAGTATTTTAACTCTCAACCATTTTGAGAATTGATATGTAAACATACTTTATAGTTACTCATTATATTTGTATACGTGAATATAAACAACATCTTGAGTATTGGGGTGATGGCTTAATGGGTAAAGGGCCAGGGGTATCGCATGAAGACCTAAGCTCAGAGCCCCAGCACCAGCTATGGTGGTACACATGTGTAACCCCAGAACTAGGGAGGCAGAGACAGGTGGGTCTTTGGTGGTTGGTTAGCTAGCCTAGCCAAATCAATGATATATCTGAGACGGATTTGTAGCTGCCATGACCTCACTTGCTTGGTCGTGGTGTATGATCTTTTTCATGTGTTAATGGATTTGTTTCCATTTACTTTACTCAAGATCTCCCTATTCATTAAGAAATTTGCCTATCGTTTTTCTCCAACTTTTTCCTTTGCTTTTCTCTCTGCCTCTCCCCTTCTATGCTGCCACCGTTCTCCTTCAGCTGTGCACACAAACAGGGGAGAGAGACTTTAGAGCAGACAATCCTAAACCTGGAGTCTCACCTGACACCATAACTGAAACCCACTAGTTTATGGGGTTTACATTCTTCTTCACATTCTCTTGAGGAGGTTGTGACTCAGATGGGCCCCAGAATCCAACCCAATATACCCTGAGAACAAGAAGGCAGCAAGGTCTTGCCATCTCTTAAATACTTGATAAGAACCATGGATATTAATTTCCTTGGGCAGTTACAACACCTGTTGACACCTGACACACACACTGGTGAGTTTGAAGAAATCAATTTTTTATTAGTCATTAGTATTCTGAAAGAGTAATTGGTACTTTTTTTCTCTATATAGAATCTACATTTGTTCTATCAAAATTAATTTTGCATACTATGCTAAAAATTTAATTTTTAAAAATATTTTATTATTTTTATTTTATGTGTATGAGTGTGTTGCCTACACGTATGTGTGTGCACCTGTGTTGTGCAATGCCATGAAGGTCAGAAGAGGGCTTCGGATTCCCCTGGAGCTGGGGTTAAGGACGGTTTGTGGCCGTCATGTGGGTTCTGGGAATTGAACCTGGGTCCTCTGCAAGAGCAGTCAGTGCTCTTAACCGCTGAGCCATCTCTCCAGCTCCTGATGATCTAATTCTTTTACCATATGAAGTTATTGCCTGTAGTAACTACTATATTGTAAGTTAATTTAAAATGTTCATTTGGTCTTACAGGACAAACTATTCGAGAGAAAAGAATAGTAGAAACAGCCAACAAAAAAGAACTGGACTATGAAGTGGGAGATATCCCAACAGAATGGGAAGGTAAGTGTCTGCTTCCAATAGGATTTTCTGGGATGCAAATTGTTTAACAATATACAAAATTAGTAACAGTACATAAGATTACTTCTTGTAAACTTTTTTACAACTTTTTAACATTGCATTTCTTTGGAATTTGTAAAAGTGACAAAGTAAGGGAGCACATGCATAGCAAAAAGAACTGGGAAGCATTCGCAGGACTGAGGTCAGGGTGAGGCAAACAAGCTCCTAAGGTGCAAAAGCTGAGGATCACTTGTATGTGATCCTGTGCTTGCACAGCCCCAGATCAGAGTCCTTTTTCTAGCATTCGCTAACCTCATGAACTTGCGGAAGTGACATGTTTTTGGTTTTAGTTTTCTTTTTTTACAAATTGTGGAGGGTACTTCTTAGATACTGTCTTGGAATATTTATTTAACTCAGAATGACCCTGTTAATGACCTCATTTTCAGAGAAGGATGGATAGGTGATCACTATCATAAGACAAAAATTAAGATAAAAAGCTGGATATAGTGGCTCACACTTGTGTTCCTAGTGCTTCAGAGCGGATACAGGAGAATTGCCTCAACTTCGAAGCCAGTCTGGCCTACAGTATGAAACTCAGTCTCAAAAACCAAACCAAACAAACAAACAAAGCAAATAAACAACAACAGGTGGGATGGGGGTTGCTAGAGAGATAGCTCACTGGTTAATAGCACATTCTGTTCTTCCAGAGAGCCTGAGTTCAGTTCCCATCACCCATGGCAGACAGCTTCTGAGCTGCCTGTAACTCCAGCCCCAGGGGATTGATCTAACACTTTCTTCTGGCCTCCATGGGTACCTGCACTCACATGCACATACCCCTATACACATACACATAAATAAAAGTAATAAAAATAAATCTTTTAAAAATGTTAAAAGACCAAAGGGGAATAAAACAACAGCAGTTTGTCTCTCCTTGTGACCAGAACATTAGTATACGAACTTGATAGTTTCTAAGTAGTCATCTTCAATGTGCCATAAAAGATTTTGTTACAGAAAAGGCCAGTCTACAAAAAAACCTGAAACCAACTTGAAAAGAGTAGTATATAGGGAGGCAGAGCATTCACCAAGCTTGCAGCAGCTTTCCAGTTCCCAGCTCAATTTCTCTTTTAATGAAGTTTAGCTGCAAGTCTGAGTTCTAGGTGGTACCTCATAAACTAAATCTCTCCTTTTCTGCTTACCGGTTCTCTGTGTAGTGCCTGGCACATTAGAAGTGCTCAGTAAATCATTTGCTTAATATATGAAATCTAGCTTGAGTTAGCCTTCATTATTTGCAATTAAAAGAACCTTAACCAGGGCTGGAGAAACGGCTCAGTGGGTAAGAGTTCTTGCGTACAAGCCTGAGGATCTGAGTTTGGCTCCCAGCTCCCACACAAAGAGCCCAGTACAGTGGTGCTAGATGGCTTCAAGTGTCAACTTGACACACCTGGGAAGAGGAAACCTCAACTGGGGAATTTCCTTTAACAAACTGGCCTCTGGCCATGATTGTGAGGCATGCATTTCCTGGATTGTTGAGTGATGTAGGAGGGCCCAGCCCACTGTGAGTGGTGCCACCCCTGAGCAGATGGTCCTAGGTTGTATAAGGAAAGCAGGCTGAGCATAGGCCAGAGGAGCAAGCCAGTAAGCAGCATTCCTCCATGGTCTGTGCTTTAGCTCCTGCCTCCAGGTTCCTGCTCTGCTTAAGTTCCTGCCTTGACTTCCCTCAGTGATGGACTGTCACTTGGAAGAGTAAGATGAAATAAACCCTTTCTTCTCCTAGTTGGTTTTGGTCAGTGTTTTATCACGGCAACAGAGAAGCAAACTAGGACAAGTAGCATGTGCACGTATAGCCCCAGTGCTATCTGAGGTGGAGACAGGAGGCTCGCTGCAGTGCTCTGGCCACTAGCCTAGCTCCAGGTTCAGTGAAAGACTCTGTCTTGAGGAAGCAAGGCAGAGTGTAACAGAGCAGGACACCTAACATGCTTCTCTGGCCTCTGTAAGTGCATGCATGTGCATGCACCACCCCACACAAGTGTGCATCACACATAGCACATTCATACATTCATACATTAAAAAAGACTGACATGCCAATGCCTGTCTTATATATTGCTTAACATGTGCAAGTGTTGCCTGTAGTAAGCCCTTGATCTATAGTCATTATGTTTGATCATTACAATGATTCTATAAAGCCAACACTATATTTTATTCATATTTAATATATAGAGTATCTAAAGTTTAGGGGTACTGCCTGTACTCTAGAGATACTACTTCTTGGTGGGCAGAGCATGATGACTTACCTATAGGCACACTGTTCCATGTATGGCAGAATGTGCCTGTAAATAGCATTTCAGTGAAAATGACTTTTCCATTTCTGCTCACAGCTTTGAAAATACTAAAACTGTGAGAAAAGAGCATAAATATTGGTAGATAATGGAGGGATTCCCCCCCCTTAAGAAATGCAGCCTATAAATTGGCCAAGTTCTGAGAGGAATAATTGAGCTTTCTTATTTTAACAGACTGTCCAATGCTATAAACTACATTTGCAAATCTCAAATAATGCTTGTGCCTCCTTATGATCCTATTTTGTCATTTTTCCCAATAATAGGATAGAATTAAAATGTTTATAGAAATAAATTAAATTATAAATAAAAAATAAGTAATGGCTCATTTTTTAGCCTTTGAGATTTTCAGAGAATTAGAATGAAGTTTTAATGCTTTTTATGACTCTGTCCAGATCTAGTAATTCAGCATGACTCCCCCATGGGGCATACTCTTAAAACAAATGTATCAACCAAGTACTGAAGCAGAGGTATGTTTACAGTGATACTCATCAATCAAATATGAAAAATAAGAACCTTGAAAAAAATAAATTAAAATATTAACAAACCTACACAGCACAATGTACGGAGAAGGAAAAACAGTTAAAGTAATTGTTATCAGCACCCAATGAACCTATTTTTAGATCCAGATAAAATTTGATATTTTTAATAATATTAGAATTCTGGTACCTACAGGTTGCCTATTATCATACAATATGGATTAAACAGTGCAACTTTTTGTTTATTTAGTAAGCATCTATCGAATTCATAGAACTTACATTCCCAGATGAGAGCCGGATAAACCAGATAAAGCATTAATGTATGCAATATGCTAATAGTCATAGAAAATGAAACAGGAGAAGTGCAAATAGAGTATTTGGAAAGCTTTTGCAGTTTAATTAATATTTAGAAAAGGCCTTGCTGAGATGATTTTTGCATAGACCTAAGAAAGATCCAGCTGTACCTATAACCAACAGAGGAGTATTGCCAAAGCAGGTTTAAGTTCCTGAGGCCAAAACCTGCTCTGGTCCGTTGTGACTGGGGTCGAGCCAGAGAGAAAGTGATAGGAGGGAAGCTAAGAGTGAGGCACAATCTTCTGGGCCTGTGGCTGTTATGAGGCCTCAGTCTTTGCTGTGAGTGCCACTGGAAGAGTTTGAGGAGTAGTCACATCCTGAGCTGCAGTTAACAGGATCAACTCTGGCTGCTAATTCGAGGAAGTGGGGGGTGGGTCTCCAAACGTGTGGAGACGGGATGCTTTTCTAATACCTAAAGCAGAGGGTAGTTGTGAATTGGAGCTGTAGGAATGGAAAGAAGTGCTTGCATTCTGAGTCAGCATAAAAGTAGAGCTGATGGAATTTGCTGATACTAGGGGTGGTGTGTGTGAGGAGAGCAGTTATTGGTAACCCCTAAGCCTTTTGGTCTCATCAGGAAAAAATGAAGTGGCTGTTAACTGTGGCAGAGAGCAGCAGCAATTAGGAGAGGAAATGAAAGCAGTTTTGTAAATAGAAAGTTTGAGGTTCCCATCTGATGTTCAAGTAGAGATGTTAACTTGAGTCAAGTTAGTGGAAATTTCTAGGTTGCAAGTAAGATTTGGGAGTTACAAACAAATGCTATCTAAATTTGTGAGGCAGGATGAGCTCACAGAGGGGCAGTGAGTGTGAATAGAAAGTGAGAAGTTCAGGGTCTGAACCAGCCCTATGCCCCTCAAATGCTTAGAACAGTGGCGTGGGCAGGAAATTGGGAGAAGCCAGTTATCAAGAAGGAAGATTGGCCGGCATTCAGGAGGGAGAGGCAGGCTGATCTCAGTGAGTTCAAGGCCAGCCTGGTCTACATAGTAAGTTCCAGGCCATCTGGGGCTGCAGGGAGAACCTGTTTCAAAAATACCAACCCCCCAAAGGGAAGATTTGATTGGCAGTGTCAGACAAGGGCTGAAAAATAGCTACTTGCATTAAGATCAGAGAGTCACTAGTAATCCTGACAAAAATAGTTTTGTAGAGTGATAGAGAAAAAGAAAGACTTTGAAAAGAACAGATAGTGTTCATGAAGAGTTTATCTGTAAAGAAAATTAAGGGTTATGAGATAATACCTGGAGAGGAAAGTGCAGTGGGGAGAGGAATTCATTCTAGCTGTTTGAAGATAGCAGAATTTTGTGGTAGTGATCAGAAAGACCCAACCCAAAAGAACGCATCTGTAAGTTGAGAATCCTTGAGAAAATGAGGTGGACAAAATCTGGGATATAGGTGGAAGAGCCTGGAAATTCATCAATAGCAATCGTAGACAAGCAGATGTGATGATGAGGATTTGTGTAAATCCCCTGGTTCCTCCAGTTGAGACAGTGCTTAAAACCTTTCCAAGGGTAAGCAACAGCTAAGTCAAGTTTTGAACCCAAATTGTCTGTCTTCTAGGTCTCTAACTTTGGCCTTTTGCAGAACCAGAGATAGAATTTAGGGATTTACACATGCAAGGCAAGGGCTGTACCACCGAGCTGTAGCCCCAGCTCATTCACTCACTCACTATATTATATTGCACTGTATTACATATTATAACCTACCTCCTTAATAACTCAGCCAATACCTACTTTTTCAAGTTTACGGTTAGATATCAATTCTCTTGGGAAGTTTTCTCTGATCCCACTCTCAATCCCTAGTACTAGGGCAAGATATTTCTTTTGTTGTTTTCATTCACTGTGCC